TCCAAAAAATGCTCATTGCTGTAGGTATGGTGGTGTATACCTGCAATCCCAGAGCTCTGATAGGCTGAGGCAGGCCCATTGCACGTTTGAGTCCCACTTGGGCAATTTAGTGAGACATTGCCTCAAAATTCAAATAGTAATAGCAATGATAATAACAACAATCACATAGAAGCATAGAACTAATGATGTAGCGCAGAGTGAAGACCCTGGCTTCAATACCCAGTACCTAAACAATGAGGTGGGAGGATAAGGGGAAGGGAAAGAGAACAAGAGGAGGAGAGAGAAAAGAGAAAAGGAAGCAGCAGTGATGGCAAACTGTTAGATTAGAGTTATTTGCAAAGCAGTGGAGAAGTAGTGGGAGCTTCCCGTGTCCATCAAGTAGCTCTTAGTGAAAGCTCCCAAGGAGGCAGTGAGGGAGCAGAATGGAGGAGGAGGAGCATGTGGGCGAGTGGGGACATATTGGGAGGACCTGCCAAATGGGGCTGTCCCTAGTGGAAAGGGAGAGTTCATGCAAAGGCGCATATATGAGCACAGCTTGCTGCAAATGCAGCAGCTCACACTGCAGGAGAGGCCGCTGGGCCACGCAGCCACCACATGTGACATTTTCCTGAAACATGGCAACTGTATCTCCCACTGAAGAGCTTCACAGTTCTTACCAAATAGTTTAAATTTTACCCTGTAGGATTTAGGAATAGGGAAATTGCATGGTCAAATGTCAGAGAGCTCACTCTGGCCATGGAGTTTAAGGTTAGATAAAGCTTAGGTACAGCCAGAGCAGAAGGCCTGATGGAATTCTGTAGTGCATGTAGGCCATGACCCAAAGGCCCGAGCTACAGCACTGTCCAGGTGAGGCCAGTGAGGCCAGCAGCTCAACATCTTTAGCAAAGAGTCACCAGACTTTATGAGTAAGCATGTCTAGAATTAGGACAACATACAGCCTGGTGCAAATGGGCACTCAAATGTGCCTGTTAAATTGGATGACTGGGTGTATAGATGCACATCTTCACAGAGGATGTGGGGTCAGATGTGCTCATTTCTAATCCTGTTGGTGCTATAGGCCTAAGCTCTGGTCAAGTGACCAGGTAGCTGAAAGTAGTTTGAAATCCCTTAGTTTATAAGAAAGTTCTTATGTGGGAACAGCTTCTACCTAACCCTAGGGAGACAACAAAGAAAGAGGGGCCCATAGAGGTCTATTTTTTGTCCTCTTTCACAAAGATATAATGAAAGGACAGAGTACTGGAAGTTTACTGTGAATTCTAGCCTCTGACTACTGTGTAGATTTAAGACTCACTCTCACTAGAGCAAACTAGTGCAAGATTTTCAACCTCGAATGACCAACTCATGACTTGAAAATTAATTGAGTCCTCTGTAGCTATGGCTACGAGAGGCTGAAATATCAACACAGCAAGTGGAAAGTCCGTCTCACCCAAGCAGGGTGGCTAGGAGGTCACATTCTTCAGTGAATGAGACAAAGCAGTTGTGCCCCAGGGACTTGGGTTTTGAAAGCCCTGTGCCTGCCAAGCAAAACATTCAAACAAAACCTGCATGGGCAGAGGCAGTTTAGACCTCTGCCCTGGGTATTTCTAAATCCTCCCTAACATGCCCCAGGTAAACATCAAGATACAGATGAAGAGTTTCTGTTTTCCTCTGCTGTGCCAGATCGGCCCATTGTGTTGGGAACCGAGGATCTTCCAGTGACTCTGGAAGCCCTGTTTCCAGCATTGTTTCTCTTTTTTTCTAATCATTTTCACGTTCTTTTTTTTAAATTAATTTTATTGAGAAACAGCAATGAGACGGTTTCAAAACCAATTAATAGAACAGTTTCAAAAATTAATACATTGCATATTGTTGTCTTCGTAGAAGTTATTCATAGTGTAAGATACAGACATGATATCCTGTCCAACCACTATTAGTACAAATCTTTCTTCTCATTGAATTAAGAGAAAGTAGCTGCATATCTATCCTATTTTGTGTATACAGATACAAAATTGTCCTTCCTTTGTATCCCCTTTTTGTGTTTAGCTTTGTCAGAGATGGGTATTCCATTGCCATTTAAATATTGTAGGTTCTAAGGCACCATAAAAAGGTACTAGAAATGGAATGACTTAAGACTTAGAACTTCCTTGTCTCCCAGGTATGGAGTCTGGGGAGCCAGAGTCAGTGTGGCCCCGATTCTTCTGCAGCCTCTCCTCTGCTGTGGGGATGGCGTGTCCCCCCAGTGTCCCTTGCATGGTGCTCTGTGCGTGTCTGTTCAACTTACCTTTGTGGTGAGGATACCACTCACAGTGGATCCTAATCCCACACCAATCACCCCATTTTAACTGCCATCCCTGTGAAGAACCTGTTTCCAATCCAGGTCATAGCCTGAGGTTGTGGGGAGGGGGTAACATACCAATTTTGGAAGTCGCATAGTTCAATCTATAACCCGTTACTCATTAACTCAAAGCAGATGCTACCAGGAAAAGGTTCTCCTCTTATTTGAGGAATGAAAACCAGAACAAGCCAGTTGTTCTCATGTTCTCACCACAAGCCAGACAGAAGCACAGACCCCAAGCATCTACCACTAGGTAAGAAAATGCTTATTAAACCCATGGACATGACCTAAGAAGCCCTCTTCCCAACTGATCTCTTTAAAACATTCTTCTCTCCTGAGAAAGTGTGGCCTTCCCCATCTTAAACACAGTAAATTTCCCCACTCTTTCTAGACTCTTCACTCCATTCTGATTTTCTTTGTCATCTCAGCTGACACCACCAGGGAGGGGACCCTGGTATAATAGCCTAAGTCCTCAGAGATGTTTCTCCTTTTTAAATTCTTTTCCCAGAGCACTGGCAATCAGTAAAACCCAGGAAGGATACAAAACTAAGTCCCTGAGAGCCCCTGTGTATGGCACAGGCCTCAAAGACCCAAAGAAGAGTGGAGAATACCAGCAATCTCAAGGCAACAGGGCCTACGGCTTCCGGGGGAGAAAAGCACAGGCTCAAGGGAAAGATTCTGTACAATCACTGGAGGGCACAGACCCCAAAGGTGGTTCCTCTGCCCCGTGTCAAGACCAAGCAGTTTCCATCAACACCATAGAACCAGCCCCTGGCTCCAGCCTACCTGGGGAGAGCAACATAGTTCCTGAAGACGCAACTAGATCAGCAGACGCCAGTCTAAAGCCAGGTGGGAACGCTGGGAAGCAACTTCTCCTAGATTCTGTGGAATGGGCCATGAGTGTCCAGGATGAGACCACAAAGTCAACCTTCTTAGAGTTGTTTGGCAAAGCCAAAAATGCCCACTATCTCCGGCACAGGGTCCCCCCTGAGTCTGAGAGGCTGCTTAGCATTGGGGAGATATTCGGACATAGAGAGTCCTCACTGTTCAGGGCAGGAAAAGATTGTGAAACCAGGGTACCGCCTAAGTTCCTCCTTCTGTAGCTGTTTAATACACACTGACAATAACATACATCATAATCACTAAGAAAATGGATTAAAAATGGATGCTTTTGAGTTCCATTTTAGTTTCTCACTTTTAACTTGTTCATATCAAATCTTTGGATCTTAGCAAAAATGTAGTAATCAATACATAGAAAATAAACAGAGGGCTGGGGTGCTAGCTGGGCACAGTGGTGCACACCTGTAATTTCAGTGCTGGGGAGGCTGAGACAGGAGAATCACTGTGAGTTTGAGCTGTGTAGGAAGACTCTGTACCAAAT